GGAGGGCCGAAGTTGGAGAAGGCCTGATAAGATGTCTCTGCACAGGAAGGCTCAGTTCGAACCGTAGAAACTGTTTAAATCCAATGGGCCTAGACACTGCCCACTTCCCATGGCCCCAACTGACGGGAGGACAAGGCCTTCCTGGCTAAGCAGTCCCTCCTCCCGCCCGAGAAGGCCTCCGTTGCCATGGAAACAAAGCGGGCCCCCAAACGTTGCAGGGGGCGTCATCGCCCGGGGGCCCCAGCGCCCTCCCTCATTCCCCGGGAGCCCCCTTCCGCCTCTCCCGGCTAGCTCCCTCCCCTTCCTTCCCCTCAATGCCGCCACCGCGAAGCTACCTTTGATGCCGGCCATGATGCTGCTATTATTGTCGCACAGGCCGCTCCCAACTTTACCACCAAGTGGGAGAAAGGAGGCTAGACCGACCCGGAAGTAGGAGCTCTAAAGCAGTAACACTATTTACTGAGAGCAGAGAGGCATGCGCAGGACACAACTTCCGCTTCATATAGAGTTTATCTGTGGCTTCCAGTTAAGGCTGAGAAAAAGTGGGTTGCCTGAGGCTTTCAAGGTCTTTTCAAGCTCATGGTGCCCTTTAGGTGAACCTATCAGTGGGGTATTCTTGGCAAGATTGTTTTCAGAGAGGTTTTGCCTTCCTTTGAGGCTGAGAGAATGTGACTTGCCTCATGATCAAGGGTCTGGAGAACAAGCCCTATGAGGAGTGGCTTAAAGAGGTGGGCATGCTTAGCCTGAAGAAGAGAAGGCTGAGAGGAGACATAGCCATCTATAAATATGTGAGAGGAAGTCATAGGGAGGAGGGAGCAAACTTGTTTTCTGCTTCCCTGGAGACTAGGACGCAATGGAACAATGGCTTCAAACTACAAGAAAGGATTCATCTGAACATTAGGAAGAACTTCCTGACTGTGAGAGCCATTCAGCAGTGGAACTCTCTGCCCCGAAGTATGGTGGAGGCTCCTTCTTTGGAGGCTTTTAAACAGAGCCTGGATGGCCATCTGTTGGGGGTGCTTTGAATGTGATTTTCCTGCTTCTTGGCAGAATGGGGTTGGACTGGATGGCTCACGAGGTCTCTTCCAACTCTATGATTCTATGATAACTCAGGCTGCATATGACTCAGCTGAAAGCAGGTAATCTGGATTGAGGAACTGGATTATATGGCAGTGTTGATGGGGCCTTAATGGGTTTCCACGGCTAAGTAGGGATGTGAACTTTGATCTTTCAGACCCTGTCTACACTACCACATTATCGAGATTCCAAATCCAGATTATCTGCTTTGAACTGGACTGTATGACAGTGTAGATGGGTCCTTTATGGGTTTCCTTGACTAAGTGGGGATGGAAACCTGGATCTTTCAGGTCCCACCTACACTGCCTCATTACCCAGTTTCTGAATCCAGATTATCATCTTTGAACTGGATTATATTACAGTGTATATAATGGGGCCTTAATGGGTTTCCATGGCTAAGTGGGGATGTGAACCTTGATCTTTCAGGCCCTGTCTACACTGCTGCATTATTCAGTTTCTGAATCCAGATTACCTGCTTTGAACTGGATTATATGGCAGTGTAGACTCATGTAATCTAGCTCAAAGTACATAATCTGGATTTAGAAACTGGATTCTATGGCACTGTTGTAGATCTAGCCTCAGGGTCCTTCCTCAGGGTTACTGACATTAATTAAACTTGAGTAGACCATCTGTAAAGTACTGTGATTTTAAGTGACATGGGACAAACTACAGAATACCAGAGCTAGGTAGTTCCTGGAAATAAACATTTTAATTTTTTACCTTAAGATTTCCATGAGAAATAATCTAGCCAGGAAATAAATTAGCCAGGAAAAATAGTCTATGGTGAATACCAGGTGCAGTGGGCAATATTTCAGAGGAAGGAAATGGCAAAGACACCCTCTGAGTGTCTAAGAAAACCCTACAAAATTCTCAGAGTTGCCATAAATCAATAGGTATCTTGAAGTGGGTACACATATATGGATGGTCACCACTAATCCACTCAGAAACAAAAGGCAGTGGGGGTTAAATTCTAAATTGGCCTGTGTTCTTTCTTTTGATCAGCTTCTGTGACATTATCATCCTTTCTTAACTCAACTGTTGGCTCCTGGCAGCAGTTGGCAATATTGTAGGGGACTCAGAGCGGTTTCCACAAAACAGATACAAAACATACAGAATAGCCATTAAAATATAAACATAACCTATTAACACAATCTTGATAGCACCATATGAAGACAATTGTTATGATTCCTGTATTTCTCACCCCCAGTCCACAAGATTTTGTGTGACCTGTTATTTCAGCCATGGTCTCCAGGATAGGACTCCAGTTGCTCAAACCACTAAACAGTGGGCCTTCTTTGTCTTAAACATCTTGCTTTAAGTGAATTTAAGGCTGGACATAAATATGAATTCCTCCATGGATCAGTTCCAAGGGAAATACCGAAGAGTCGGAAACTACTGAATGAATGAACAACAACAACAGGGCTATGTGGAAGGCCCCATCTGTACTGCCATATAAAATCCAGATTATCTGGACTGGATTATATGTCAGTGTAGACTAATATAACCCAGTTCAAATCAGATAATCTGGATTTTATATGGCAGCATAGCCCTTCCACACAGTCATATAACCCAGAATATCAAGGCGGATAATCTACAATGTTTGTTTTGAACTGGGTTATCTTGATTCCACACTGCCAGACAATCCAGTTCAATGTGAATTTTATATATCTGTGTGGAAGGGGCCTTCGTAGGTTTCCATGGCCAAGCAAGGATTCAAAATCTGGTCTCCTGAACTAAATCTACACTGCCACATAATCCAGTTTCTGAATCCAGATTATCTGCTTTGAACTTGATTACATGCGTCTACAATGTTATATCCCACTGTGTTATTTTTTCCTTTATTGTTTTTATTGTGGTAGATTATTTTAATTTTTACTTTAATTTAATTCAAACTATTATCTTGCTGTATGTATTTCATTTGTTTATTGTATTTGTTGGGCTTGGCCTCACGTTAGCTGCCCCGAGTTCCTGAGGGGAGATGGTGGCGGGGTATAAAGAAAGTTTAATAATAATAATAATAATAATAATAATGACATATTATTTTACTGACACAAAACCACAGTATGTCACAGTAAACGAGATCTCTATGCTGGATTCCATATCACAAAATCACAAGCCGAACACTTCCCAAGCGGCTAGGACTGTGTGATATATTTTCGAATGATGCGTGCAGATCCAAGTAAAGTGGCCTTTTGCAGTTGACAGTAATTTTGTCAGTGTTGATTGTTTCTAAATGCTGGCTTTTGGCACGGCACCCAGTGCGCCGATGACCACTGGGACCACCAGTACTGGTTCATGCCAGAGCCTTTGCAGTTCGATTTTGAGGTCTTGATAACGTCTTGAGTTTTTCCTGTTGTTTTTCCTCAAAGTGACTGTCACCCGGTATGGTGACATCAATAATTCAAACCTTTTTCTTTTCCACAATCGTGATGTCTGGTGTATTATGTTCCAAAACCTTGTCAGTCTGGATTTGAAAGTCCCACAGTATTTTTGCGTGTTTGTTTTCCACTACCTTTGCGGGTTTATGATCCCACCAATTCGTTACTGCTGGTAGGTGGTACTTGTGACATAAGTTCCAGTGAATCATCTGGGCCACAGAGTTGTGCCTCTGTTTGTAGTCCATCTGTTTGATTTTCTTGCAACAGCTGAGGATATGATCAATGATTTCATCCGCTTCCTTGCACTGTCTGCATTTTGATGACATATAATTCAGTTGAGAAAAAAAAATCTGGATTCAGAAACTGGGTTAAATGGAACTGTAGACAGGGATCCAGTGTCCTAACCTAATGATGCAGTATATTACTGCCTAGAGAGCCATTRTGGGTTTTTTTGTCGTGTCAGGAGAGACTTGAGAAACTGCAAGTCGCTTCTGGTGTGAGAGAATTGGCCGTCTGCAAGGACCACAGTGGCTGGAGCCCCCRGTGGTGCAGTGGGTTAAACCCCTGTGCGGGCACTGGCAGGACTGAAGACTGACAGGTCGCAGGTTTGAATCCGGGGAGAGGCGAATGAGCTCCCTCTACCAGCTCCAGCTCCTCATGCGGGGACATGAGAGAAGCCTCCCACAAGAATGATAAAACATCAAAACATCCGGGYGTCCCCTGGGCAATGTCCTTGCAGACGGCCAATTCTCTCACACCAGAAGCAACTTGCAGTTTCTCAAGTCTCTCCTGACATGACAAAAAAACCCACAATGGCTCTCTAGGCAGTAATATACTGCATCATACATATATTGCAAAACTATTGCATAGATATAATAATATGTTGCATCATACAGCTGAATACAAATGCACTGTGACTCGCTCCACAAGGTCCAACAAAAAAACTGGATATTTCTGACGTCCACAGGAGTTTGCTTAGTAACAGTGAATCACCATATGGTCCCTATTACACTCAGCGCAATCCTATTGGCTGTAGGTCATAGGCGGAGCCAATGACAGGCAAGGACACAACAAACCAATAGAAATGTTGGGACAGAAAAATCTCTCACATTCCCATTGTCTTGTTAGACCACTAAGTGATGCTAAGCGTCTAGGCGTTTAGGACTTCCACTCCCAGAAACCTCAGCTACGTGAGCCAAAGACCAGGGATTCTGGGAACTGAAGTCCAAAATACCTAGACGACAAGAGCGCCTCTTCTCATTGGCTGGGCTTGCGCGGAAGGCGGGCGTCAAAACCAAACACAACGACACAGCCAACTCTAAGATGGCGGCGCCCGGCCCCTTCGGGAGGTGGGACTAGAACTGCGGGCGGCCAATCAGAGGCCTCGCGAGCCGGAACGGATGCGCCACAGGGTCAAGGCTGAGCCGAGCGCCACTCGCTGGTGAAGGAGCAGAGATGAGGTCGCGGGGGCTGGCGCTGCCGCTGTTGGTGGTGCTGACGGGAGCCGGCCTGGTGCGGGCCTGGGCGCAGCCGGGTAAGGGAAGCGCTCCGGTGGTCGAGGAGCTCCTTCTCTCTGCCGCTGGGCTGTGGGAGCCCGGTTGTCAAGGCGCGGCTGAGCAGCGGAGGCCTGGCTCCCTCAGCCACTCTCTCAGCCTAGGAGGAAGTCAGCAAAGGCAGGCTTCCCCCTCAGGCGGAAGCGACGCGAAGGCACACAACGGCAACAGCGCTTTTATTATATTTGCTGATTTTTAATTGTGTTTAAATGTTTTTAATGCCCCTTCCACGCAGCTGAATAAAATCCCACATCTGCTGGGATTTATGGCCGTGTGGACTCGGGACCCTTCCACACAGCCCTATATCCCAGAATATCAAGGCAGGAAATCCCACATTATCTGAGTGTGGACTCGGACAACCCAGTTCAAAGCAGATATTGTGGGATTTTCTGCCTTGATATTCTGGGATATAGGGCTGTGTGGAAGGGCCCTCAGACTGCCACACCATGCTGGAAGGCATAGGCATTAATAATTATAGGCAAGACTTAACTAGCGGCAACAAAAATATGTGCAGGTATGCCTTATATCACACTGGCAACAAAGATCCACATAGTCAAAGCCATGGTATTCCCTGTAGTAACCTACGGATGTGAGAGCTGGACCTTAGGGAAGGCTGAGCGAAGGAAGATAGATGCTTTTGAGCTGTGGTGTTGGAGGAAAGTGCTGAGAGTGCCTTGGACTGCGAGAAGATCCAACCAGTCCATCCTCCAGGAAATAAAGCCTGACTGCTCACTGGAGGGAAGGATACTAGAGACAAAGTTGAAGTACTTTGGCCACATCATGAGGAGACAGCAAAGCCTAGAGAAGACAATTATGCTGGGGAAAGTGGAAGGAAAAAGGAAGAGGGGCCCACCAAGGGCAAGATGGATGGATGGCATCCTTGAAGTGACTGGACTGACCTTGAAGGAGCTGGGGGTGGTGACAGCCGACAGGGAGCTCTGTCGTGGGCTGGTCCATGAGGTCACGAAGAGTCGGAGATGACTGAACGAATGAACAACATGCCTTATATAATGTTAATATCCAGGACCATAATCTACATTCAGATAGGACCGGGCTGTGGCACAACTAGTTAGTAACCAGCTGCAGTAAGTCACTACTGACCAAGAGGTCATGTGTTCGAAGCCAGCCCGGGTCGGACTGAGCTCCAGACCGTTAATAATCTAGCTTGCTGTTGACCTATGCTACCCGAAACACAGTTGCATCTGTCAAGTAGGAAATTGAGGTACCGCTTTAAGCGGGGAGGCTAATTTAACTAATTTACAACATCATAAAGCCTTCCAGCAGTGCGTAAGAATGAGGAAGTACTCCATCAAGAACTTGGTGTCACAAGTGGATGGTGAAGCGGCAGCTCCCCCTGTGGCTAGAATTGAGCATACCCTCATGAAGCTGGAAAAGCTGGAATGTTAAATTGCTTCTGTGTCTGTCTACATATGTTGTATGTCTAAATGGCATTGAATGTTTGCCATGCATATGTCCATTGTAATCCACCCTGAGTCCCCTGCGAGGTGAGAAGGGTGGAATATAAATACTGTAAATAAATAAATATATAATAAATAAATGTGGGATTTCCTGCCATGATATTCTGGGATATAGGGCTATATGGAAGGACCCTCAGATAACCCAGTTCCAAGCAGATATTGTGGGATTTCTTGCCTTGATATACTGGGTTATCTAGCTGTGTAGAAGGGCCCTGAGTCTCCTTGTGGAGAGAAAAAGTAGAGTATAAATAAACATAATAATAATAACAATATACTGCCAAACAATAATGGAAATAATTTTTAGAACTTTTGTTTTTGAATGCTGATGGCTTTTAGGGGAAGGGGGGGGGGAGAGATCTTAGGATATTGGTTCTCAGCTTTGCTTAGTATTAATTTCTCACATGTATTCTTCCAGAGAGAGTCTTGTTACGAGAAGTTCAGGCCTTGACACTTTACCCAGGAAAGAATACAAATTATCGGCGGAGTTCTCCAGTTCCTCAGTTGCAGTGCACTGGAGGTTCTGCTGGCTGTGGTGCATATGCCCCTGATGTCGTACAATGTTACAACAAAGGTTGGGATGGCTATGATGTACAGGTATGTCTGTTTTAAAACATGTATGAAGTTCATAGTCTTAGGAAAGGGAACGTCGGTTCACCTAGCTGAACCAAACAAGTTATGTTGCTAGTTCTTGGGGCTGGGAGGATTAATGCTTCTTTCTCCACAAAGGTGCCAGTGATATCAGCTGAAATCATATAAATTATTAGTGGAGTATAAAACTGTCATTGTTCGTCTGTTGGGTTCTCCCTTCCCCTCCCAGTTTGAGGTGATAGAGCTCTAAGAGAGCAATGAGTATTCTAATCATAAGCCTCCAATCCACCCTGTTGTTAATATATTTTAAAATAGAAAAAAAAATCCAGATCCTTTACATCCTTTTATTTCATGTCCCTAAATTTTGCCCTTAACTTTTCTGTAGATCATATCATATCCATTATTTTAGCCCTTGTTTTATACACAAGGTTTACTTTAGCGCTATTATATATGATGGTTTATAGATGCATTGCAATCATTAAAATAGTGCAGAGGTTTAGGGAAACGTTTGCGTATGACATATGAGGCTTAATTAGATTTTTTGTAGTTATACATTGCATTGTGCTAAATCATTATAAATGGAAATAGGAGATACCATGTTTATAGAAGGGGTGTTACATACACTAAGTACTTTTACAAAGCACATTTAATTCTGGCTTTAGACAAGTTGATTTTTTCAGGCAAACTGAAACTGCATAAACTGAAAGTGAAGCTTTCTCTTTGTCTCAACAAAATACTTGCCTCTGTTTAAAACCCAATAGATTATTTTTGATTAAAATATTTTTCTTAGTAGAAAAGTTGTACTGTTCAAAGTATCGTGTTAAGGATATATTTCAGTCCATTTTATTAAATTTTAAAATCTCTGATTTAAAAAACCACCAAAATCAATTGGAATATTACTAGAATGTTCAGAGCTACTAAATCTTCAAGAGATACAAACCAGATATCACTTTTTCAGTGATCAGTTCTTGTAAAAGTCCTTGAAGAAGTGGTCCACAGTTTACATAATACAAAAATATTAGAAGAGTATGTATGGTGTTCTTTTTAAAAAGCAGTGTGTTTGCTATTTTTATCTTTGGGATTGTCACAATTTCTGCTTCTTTTTTCAGTGGGAGTGTAAAGCAGACTTGGATGCTGCCTACCGATTTGGAAAAATTGAAGTAAGCTGTGAAGGTTATGATTATCCAGACGACCCTTACATCTTAAAAGGGTCCTGTGGCTTGGAGTACACATTGGAGTTAACCAAGGCAGGACAGCAAAAGACCAGTTCATTTGGTGGAAGCTACTTTTCCCCAACCTCTCATGATTCAGTAGGCTCAGGTGCTGGAGTGGTTCTGGTAATATTCTTTGCTCTTCTTGTTTATGGCGTCTACAAGTTATTCCTATGTGATAATCGTCCACAACATGGCTTTGCTTACGGTGATGTGCATTCAGGAACCTACCAACAGAGTCCTCCTCCTCCAGGATTTAAATCCGATGGGCAGTATTATCAAAGCCCTCCTCCACCAGGATTTAAGACAGGCTTTACAGGTAAAGTTCCCACTCATTTGCAACATTTTGAAGACAAAGGCATTGGAATATGATGTCTTGTTTTATATGAGACAACATGTCACACATTTCTTAATTCTTAATGTTGTACATTTCTTAATCTGCTAGGAAAAAATTGGCTCTGTAAAAGTTGTTTACAACCTCTGGTAATTGCATGAGGCCCGCAGAACTTTATGAACACTCTTGGTGCTTTCATTCGACACTAATAACAAAGGCTTAATCGAAACCATGTTATAAGTGCTTTGGGTTTCTGTAGAGAAACTATATAGGTTAAAACCTTGAATTGTCAGATTAAGTGTGAAGACAGAGCTACATGTCATGGCTTTGTTTTCATAGTTACATAGGCAGTGCCAAACTTCCCATGGCAGCACCCCAACGTTTCTCAGATGCTGATGCTGCTCGGGACACAGAGAATAGATGTCTGCAGCACTCTCCGTTGCGGGCATGTTGAGAACAAGCAACTAGAAAGATCCCTCAGTGTCTTGCCGCAACTATTTCCCTTCATGCACCTCATGTACATTTCCCAGCTCCCTGATCTGCAACATCTCAGAAATCCTTCAGCTGGGTGCTGCAAGGCTGAAGAGGCATATTGCATTTATTGCTAATGACCCTAAACCTAAATCCCCAGCAGTTATGAGATCCTAAGTTCTCAATGAATTGATATTTATTTATTTATAACACCTGTGTTTTAAGAAAGGTGTAGGCTTAATGGGGTGATGCTGTCAATAATGAAGGTGCATGTGTGTTGACAATGTATTGTCTAAATGATCTATCAAAACATCTTAAACAGCAATCCCTGAATAGGAGATTGAAGCATGGTTACATTGCTCCTGGAAATATCTAAATGGACGAAAGCTGTGGCATAATGAGAAACGTCTTGGTTGTATCTTTCTGTTACCATTACACTTCCTCTGGTGCTGCAGTCCTGAGCCATTTATAAGCAAGCAAATCTCACAGATCTCACTGGATCTTACTTTTCAATAAACAGATTTGAAGTCTGGCTGGCAACATTTTTAAAGCCCTTTTGTGACAATGTGATCCAGCTTACACTTTCACTGGAGTGATGTTGTTCTTAATTTGGGCAAATGCACATATTTGCTTCTAGCATCAAATATGTGCTTTTGTGTATGTGTAAGCGAGCGAAGGTTTAAGCATAACAGGTAGAAACGTCAACTTGTAACCTTCCAGTATTACATAATGAAAGTGCATATGTGAATTATTCATACCTCACTTTCCTAGAATAGTTATTCCTTGGCGTTTTTCTGTAGGATTTAATTCAAAACCTGAAACCATTGAAATGCTCTTGAGTGATTTATCAAGATAATTAGTCCTTTTCTTAGCAATCCTTTAAAACTTAATGAAAGAACTGTGGTTTCAAGGATTGTTTGATCTAAATCTGTTTCATTTTACTTGCATTAAGGAGCTGCAAGTGGTTCCAATTATGACTCAAATTCAGGGCCTGGTTTCTGGACCGGATTAGGTGCTGGAGGGCTACTGGGATACTTGGCTGGCAACCGAAGGTAATCCATCTTATTTTTCTTGACAACAAATATTCCTTCCTCTGATCAGCATATATTTAAATAACACAGGGGTAAAAGGGAAGGGAAAATTATTCTTTGAAATAAGATCTGTAGTTTATGAATATTTAACTTGAATCGTGGTATGATTTTGTTTACAGATTTTTTTTTTACAACAAAATTATTTTAAAAGGTGTGAGATGTCTTTCTTCTATCTTCCAAGTTGCTTCTCCTCAGGGCGGGTAGGGAACCATTTTCTTTGAAGGGCTGTTGACCTGTATCAAAATTAGTCAAATGATAGAGCTTCAGAGACCAACTAAAAAGAATGCTGGATTGTGTAACAAGATACATTTCACAGTGATGGCTTCCTGTTGATAAAATAGATTAGCCACCAGAGGATATATATGTTGGCTGTGTTTTACCTATGCTGTGCTCCTTATAATTATACTCTTTGCCTTGCAGTTACACAGCATTGCATCATTAAGTAAAGACATTCGTGATTCATTGCTAGTGCTAAAGGCATAGGTTATGATTTCCAGAAAATTAAGTTATTAAACTTATTTTTTCCAAATTTAACAACTTAATTCTTTAATCATGGTATAACAACAGATTCAATGTTTTATTGCAATGTTTGAGTAGGAGTTGCCTATCTGCACCTAAGGGTGCATCTTTACTGTAGAATTAATGCAGTTTGACACTGATTGAACTGTCATGGCTCTATGCTATGGAATCCTGGAAGAAGTGGTAAGACACCAGCACTCTTTGATAAAAAAGACGAAAGACGTTGCAAAATTATAACTCACATGATTCTATAACATTGAGCCAGTAGTAAGCTAAAATCAGACAGGTGTTTAAAGAAGGCTTTTAAAAAATGGCCTAGGGATTGGTTTAAAAGCTTTTTATCCATTTCATTTAATTATATTTTAATTTATTTATTTCAGTATTTGTATACGGTTTATGGCATTTTAATATGTACTTTTTGTATATTTTTATTATGGTATATTGCCTTTGAAGTGTGAGATGCTTTGAGTCCCAACTTTGAGGGGGAAAAGCCAAGTATAAATAAATAACAACAACAGTAAATGAGCCCCTGGTGGCGCAGTGGGTTAAACCCTTGTGCTGGCAGGACTGAAGACCGACAGGTCGCAGATTTGAATCCGGGGAGAAGCAGATGAGCTCCCTCTATCAGCTCCAGCTCCTCAAGTGGGGACATAAGAGAAGCCTCCCACAAGGATGATAAAAACATCAAATCATCCAGGCGTCCCCTGGGCAACGTCCTTGCAGACGGCCAATTCTCTCACACCAGAAGCGACTTGCAGTCACTCCTGACACGACAAAAAAAAAAAAAAGTAAATGCCTGAAGACTTGGATGTTCCAATGATAGTTTAGCTAGTGATTTGGTTGGATCTCCAGCATCTTATTCCCAGTCCCGGCACTATAGTTTTGCATTTGCACAAGCCCTTGTCCTGCCCTATTAGTTTCAAATCTGCACATGTCCACTTTTTTGGCTACGGGTTGTTTGATGTTTGATTTATGTTTTATGATCCTTTGCATTTTATTGTTTTTCTTGTTTTAATATATTTTACTGTTATATGTTTTTAATTGTGTTATTTGCAACCTTTGTTTATATTGGGCTTGATCCCCATGTAAGCTGCCCCATGTCCCTTCGAGGAGATGGCGGTGAGATATAAGAAAAAGTTATTATTTTTATCATTATCATCATCATCAAAATAGTGGAAGTTTTGTTCCTTTTGATGGACTTTGCATTATATGACCTTCCAATACCTTTCTACATTATTTGGCTCTTTAAATATTTCAATTGGTAGACATGGGATAGCATTGTCATTTACCACTAACAATTTTTTCCTTCAGGTCACCTTCACATCATACATATTCTCCATATTATGATACATGGACTGGTCCATCTGCTCGATCACACGCATTTGGCAGCTCACATAACTCTACAGCATCTCATCATTCAGGGACAAGATCCACATCTGGTGAGTTGCATTCACTTTTGTTTTCTGGGCTAATGTCTTATTCTCTGTCTACATACTCATTGTATACTTTCTTCTCAGTAAACTTAAATAGGGATGAGGTGTGAGATAACAGGCATCCCCATCACCTCAACTTGAATTCTATAAAGCATTGAGTAGAAGGTAGATTAGTATCTATTAGCAAATATCTTGGTGAATTTGACAGGTTCATCAGGGAATTCAACTCCCATTTGTTTAATAATGTCAGTAACAAAAAAGTGTATTTTCCCCATTTAATGTCATGTTATATTAATAGCGAAATAATATATTTATTATGTTCTAGCAACTAATTTTGACATTGGTCAAAAAGTATGTAAATTACCATATTAAAAATATGATTTATTTAGTGAATGGGTGTATGAGAAAGCTAGCCCATGATTTAGGATTATGATGACAATTTGCAGTGACCTTTGAATTTAAGTCCTCTCTCTTGCTCTGGCTCAAGCAACCGGAAATATTTTGAACTATTTGCTTCTATTTATGATTAGCTGTAGTTTCTAGTGTCAGTTTCAGCCTACAAACAGGTCCATCTGGAAACAAGTGAACTTTAAAGCATGGTTTATAAAGTTGGCTTGTTTTAATGAATCATAATTAAAAACAATGAGGAGTTGGATGGCATGCTAAGCTGATTATTCCTTCCAGACCTAGGCATTCTGAAGTGGGGTGCCTACAAGTTCTAGGCTTGATATGTCTCATCCTGTTAATACAACTTGGTGTTCCCCCAACCATTTTAAGGTTTGACAATACTGTACTAACCAACCGATCTATAATGTTTTGGACTAATAATATACATATTTTTATCTATCTATCTATCCTCTCCTAGGTTTTGGAGGTACAAAAAGGAGATGAACCTTGGATTCTGTAATGTCTAAGCAGCTGAATAAAGGCAACATTCCAACTATTCTAAAACTTGTTTTAAGCCTGTTTAGTGGACCTGTAAGCATTTAGCTTTGGGTGACACATTCACTTGTATGCACTTGCATTTCAATTTTCATGTTTAAAGAAATCGTGGTTTGAATAATTTTGTGAAAATAAAACATTGGAAAAGCAGACACAGAAATTCAGTCTGAACTCATCATTTCAAAGACATAGCTGTGTTAGTCTGGAATATTAGTATACAAATGAATGTTGTAGCACCTTAGAGGCTACCTGAGAGAACAAAGCTGGTACTGTAAGCATTTGGAGACTAAGTTTAATTCCTTTGCATATTGAATTTATCAAGCCATTCTTGGAATAATGTGACCAGCCCAAAAAAAGAGACTAGTGATCCTACACCTTTAATAGTTGCATTACAGGCTGCATCTGTCAATAACTCCTTTTTCTTAAAGGTAGATCTATTCCTTTGGGTGGGATTTATTTCCAAAGTAGTGTGATCTGGCAAATAATGGCTTTGGACATATATTTAGTCAAGTGTGTCCAACTGAAATCAAGGAACACTTTTCAGGGCAAATATATATAATGTACAACCCTTTTTCTTCAAGAGCAAAACATATTTTCTGAATCCTTTGTTTGTGACAATAAATTTTGAAAGTTAACAGTTTCAGATATTACTACTGTGGAGATTTCCAACTGAAGGAATGACCTCACAAGAAAAGCTTGCCTGTTTTTCAGAACACAGGGCAAATATATATAATGTACAATCCTTTTTCTTCAAGACCATAGTCCCAGGGTTTGTGCTCTGAAAATCAGGCAAGCTTTTCTAGATAGTAGCTATTGGTTTGTGTAAAAATCAGTTGAATAGACCTAGAATATTCCCTTTTAAATTATTTCTCAGAAATATTTTTCATTGTTTAGTACAAGAAGAAACACACACAGAGACCCCAAACACATATCTTTGCCTGAAAACTGATATAGCTGACTTAAACTTTTAGAAAACAACATAGGGAGAAGCAAAGCCTCATCTATACAGGGCCTGTAATCTACTGTGAAGTGATTTAGAGGTGGTTGTCTTAATCCCCCCGCGCGAGTTCGAACTCTCATCTACTCTGAAACTCCATGTTAACAAGACTTGCCATATGTCCTAATTCCAGCTATAAATTCACTTTTTTTCCCTCCTGTGTCTGAACAAGGCACAGGAAGGAGCGGTTTTGGAAGGCAGAACATAAGTGTAAAGAACACAGGGAAAAGGTAAGATCGAACAGCCCAGTTGAGAAAAGGAAAGAAAAGCTCTTCTGTCAGACCAGCGTCGCAGAAGTTTGTGCCTTGTCTTCTGGAGTTACTAAAGTGATTATTGGTGCAGCTTTTTTGCCAGGAGGTAAGGGGAAAAGCAAAGAAAACTGGGATTTTAGGAAGACATTTAATCTGGGTCAAAATATGGATTTAAGAGATCCAGTAGGTGTAAACTGTCTTTGATTTTCCCTGGTTTTTTAAAAGTTCTTATTTAGACAATCCACACATACCCTGAATCTCTTAAATTGACATGCTGATCTGGATTAAATGGCTGTGTGGAAGCAGCCTGAAGCCCCTTCTACACTTCCATATAATACAGATTATCAAAGCAGATAATCCACATTATTTACTTTGAACTGGATTATATGAGTCTATGCTGCCATATAATCCAGTTCAAAGCAGATAATCTGGATTTTATATGGTAGTGTAGAAGGGGCCTGAGAGGGCTGAAACCAGAGGCGGCAATCATGGCTATTCAGATGTTCAACAACAGCTGTCAGCATTCTTCACCATTGGCTATGGAGCCCTCGGTGGCGCAGTGGGTTAAACCCCTGTGCCAACAGGTCGCAGGTTTGAATCCAAGGAGAGCGCGGATTAGCTCCCTCTTTCAGCTCCAGCTACTCATGCGAGAAGCCTCCCACAGGGATGGTAAAAACATCAAAAAAATCTGGGCGTCTCCTGGGCAACATCCTTGCAGACGGCCAATTCTCTCACACCAGAAGTGACTTGCAGTTTCTCAAGACACTCCTGACACGACAAAAAAAAATGGATATGTTGGCCAGTCTTATTCCCCTTCTACACTGCCCTATAAAACAAGATTATCTTATTTGAACTGGATTATATGGCAGTGTAGATTCATATATATATAGTAATATATAACATAGTAATATATAATACTAATATTGTGCTGTGCTAATATTATAATTTATTGTATGCACATATATTGATAATATTATTGATATAATGCAATACAATATAATATTACAGTATAGTGGTTTGTTACAATATAGTAATATATAATACTAATATTGTGCTATGCTAATAGTATAATATATTGTATGTACATATAACTTGTAAGCTGCTCTGAGTCCCTTTCGGGGTGAGAAAGGCAGCATATCAATGCCGTAAATAAATAAATAAAATCCAGGTCAAAGCAGATAATGTAGATTATTTGCTTTGATAATCTGGATTATATGGCAGTGTAGAAAGGGCCTTGCTGGCACTTGAAATCTGATAACATCTTGAGGTTGCATGAATCCTACCCTTGTTTTAAATAACAATGCAATTATGTGGATGATTATTCAGAATATAGTTCAGTGCAGGTAGGTGGGATTTGATCTTAGGCAAGTATTCAGAAAGAGATCCAGTGTAATGTAGCGGTTTGAAGATTAGACTCCCAATACTAGAGACCAGGGTTCGAATCCCTGGGTAAACGGTAGACAAGTCGCATTCTGTCAGCCTGAAAGGAAGGCAAAGGTAAACTCCCTCTGAATAAACTTTGCCAAGATAACACTATGATAGGTTCCCCACAGGGTCACCATAAACAACTTGGATGCCCCTGTCAGTTCTAAAAAATGAACCACTAAAGGTAACAAAAAGACCCATCAAACCAATTTAATGGAACCTGATGAATGTTAATGTAGAAATCACATTCAGGAACATTGGTATCCACATTAAGCTCTTCCTTGCTAGCCCCAATGTTACTTTTTGACGTGACACTGTAGGTGACATATTTTTTGAACACTTTTTTGATTAATATCTTTCTGAAAGTGAAAATTGTGAATGTTACCTTACCCTCTTGTCTTCCCATGGAAAAGCAACCTGAAAATGTCAGCATTTCAATTGTTCAAAAATAAAATAACATTATATCTTGAGTTTACACTTATGGAATTGATGACATCAAAGAAAGTTTTTTTTATTAGCAACTCCTTAAATGCTTTAATGCCTAGTGGAATAGATATGGGAGAGGAACTGGGGAAATCTCTCCAAGTAACTTAACATGACTTAATAAAAAAAGATTTGCATCATTTTCTGGCTTTTTAAGGAGCTGATACTATAGATCTGATAACTAATGTTTTAACGTAGTTCTTTGATTATTCGCATTCTTGCAAACTGAAGATTAGCATATTGGAGGAAGGCTTTGGAACACTGAGATCTTTCCAGTGACTGAACATTGTTTCTAACTCATAACAATTCAGAGATAATGACTCGGAATTGTTCCCTTTGTTTGTATTTTCCATGGCGCTTTTTAAAACGTGTTTACCACTGCAACACTTAACGTTTTAAGCAAAAAATGTTATAATAAAATGCAGAATTAACATCAATATGTGCAAAATTAAAACTAAGTGATGGAGAAATATATTCTTAAATGTAAGCCTTTATCAACATTCAAGGGATCGCCTGGACTATCTCTTAGGCACAGAGGATTTGTTTGGCTACTTGTCCTGTAGGAGTTAGAATTTGACAATCTTAGAAGAGTTTATTCCATGTTTTTCTTCCATCTACATATATAATTCATTTATGTGTTCCTCTAGTCTAGAATCTAGGAGAACTGATTAAAAGTAGGACTACGTGGGCTGCTGGCAACAGTTTTTAACCCGTGGGCCACACTGTGGAGCACACTAGCAGTCAAAGCCAGATGTGACTTGAAGTCCTCTACTAGTTCTGTAAACTCCACTTTGTGGAGATGCCTAGAGGCAAAACAAGATATGGTCAAGTATCTGGAGAACAAGCCCTAAGAGGTGCGGCTTAAAGAGCTGGGCATATTTAGCCTGCAGGAGAGAAGACTGAGAGGAAACATGATGAGGGCCATGTATAAATGTGTGAGGGGAAGTCATGAGGAGGAGGGAGCAGCCTTGTTTTCTGCTGCCCTGAAGACTAGGGCATGGAACAATGGCTTGAAACTACAAGAAAGGAGATTCCATCTGAACATTAGTAAGAACTTCCTGACTGTGAAAGCTGTTCAGCAGTGGAACTCTCTGCCCCGGAGTGTGGTGGAGGCTCCTGCTTTGGAGGCTTTTAAACAGAGGCTGGATGGCCATCTGTCGAAGATGCTTAGAATGCAATTTTCCTGCTTCCTGGCAGAAAGGGGTTGGACTGGATGGCCCACGAGGTCTCTTCCATCTCTATGATTCTATTATTCTAACTTCTGAAAACAATAGAAAATTTCCACACTGGCCACCCTCCAGGGAGACTCAGTTCATGTAGATGAGCACCAGTTTAATTGATCTGGTGAAACTCCACATGAGTTGCAAGTGCAAGCTAACACACGCTCCAAGCTCAGTGTACAGAGATTAACAAAGGGATTTTGTGCCTGGCAAATGAATCAAGTGGGAAGATCTATTGTGCTAAGCAAGTGAGATCATTTTTTCAGTGGGTAGCATTGGAGTAAATTAACCACTGCTCTGTCTGAATGCAAGGGTACTCATGGATATACCATATCCAGCACGGAAAGTTGATTTTACACTATCACAGGAGTTTTAGTCCAACACATCTTGAAGGCTCCAGGTTGGGAATAACTATTCACAGTATTACTTTCCAATGCAGCAATCACCAGAGAAAGAAGAGAATACAAGAAATGCCTTGTTTTCTTGATTCTGTCCTTTGGACTGCCTGCAGCTAAGTCTTTTTAATTTGAACGATAGGATGGGTTGGGCCAGGGTTGGGAATCATACTTCAGATGATGGTAGACTACCACTACCCACATTCTTCAGTACCAGCTATAGTCACTAGTACTTTTT